AGAGAGAACAAACGATAGAGAGAACGAATGATAGACAGAACGAATGATAGACAGAACAAATGATAGAGAGAACAAACGATAGAGAGAACGAATGGTACAATGATAGACAGAATGAACATTAGTGAGATAGACAGAACGAACGACAGAGAGAACAAACGATAGAACGAACGATAGAGAGAACGAACGATAGACAAAACGAATGGTAGAATGATAGACAGAATGAACATTGGAGAGAGAGACAGAACGAACGATAGACAGAACAAAAGATAGACAAAACGAATGGTAGAATAATAGATAGAATGAACATTAGTGAGATAGACAGAACGAACGACAGAGAGAACAAACGATAGAACGAACGATAGAGAGAACGAATGGTAGAATGATAGACAGAATGAACATTAGAGAGATAGACAGAACGATCGATAGATAGTCAGATTGCAGCAGACGCTGTAGTAAAGCTAGCTCGTCTCCTGAGGTGCGTCCAGCTGTCATTATCAGTTAATTCACTTAAGCATTCTCATTAAAGCAGCCTAACACATCGAGCGAATGGACAGTACAACCTCAGCGTAACGAGGACTGTGAAGATCTCGTGTTATTTCTGGAGCGAGAGCAGCATATGCGCAGGAGGTCTGCCGCCCGTGGCCCATCTCTCTGCTGCTTGACCAGTAATTACATTAGCAGCTAGCGCCCTGAGCGCTGCCTTTCACATGCTAATCCCATCCAACCTGCGGACGAGGGTCTAGTGGCTTTTATTAGAGCAGATCTGAGCGAATTAATCAGCTCCAGCTAATGGGCGGAATTAAAACTCCAGCCATTGTGTGGCGCGTTTGTTCGTGACTGAGGGAGCTAATCTCCACTTAGCGTCCATTCTGGATCTGACGAGTTGATGCTTGAGGAGGCGGCGAGTCTGTCTTTTAAAGACGAGCGCTCCAGACATCATTAAGACACTAAGGACGAGTTCTTGTGTTAAAAACAGACAGATGAAGAACAACACAACTGAACAGAAGATGCATTAAACACTGCTCAACTGCAAATGAGCTTAATACACTAAAGATGCTCATCCTGCCACTACACTGCAAAATCATATTCATATTTTTTCGTTTGTGAGGTTAAAACAATCAAAAAATCCTCAAAACAAGATAAACTAACTTGTGAAGCAATGCTGCATTAGATACTAAGACTTGTTTTTCATAGACTGTTATTATTATGTGTGTATTTTGTCTTACTGCGAGCTTAAAATACACGATCTGCCAGTGCAGCAAGACAAATTTCACATATATTCAAGATATAAAATATGAAAACAAGTGTTAATATCTCACGCAGTGTTGCTTCTTAAGTATTGTTTTCAAGGATTTTAATATATTCTAGATTAGATTAGATTTAACTTCATTGTCATTGTGCAGAATAAAATGCCGTTAGGATCTAAGCAGAAAATAAAATAAAAAAGCAATATAAAATAAATATTATGTGTATATAATAATAATTATGCATATACAATGCATATACAAAATACATACAACATTATATAGCTTGTGCTTTATCATGAATTCTCCATCGGATTGAATCTCAGTGAGGGAGCGTATGGGGTAAATACTTTATTAACGTAAATCCACAGTGACAAAACAGCTGATGAATTACATAAGCAACTTCTGCTCACTGGCCTCATTCGCACCATCACGTCTCACTTTCACTCAATCTTTCACTCACTCTTTCACTGCAACTTTCTACAAAGACATTGACTTTTGAATTGATTTCAAGGAGCATTTTAACCATTTAAAACCAGTCATTCCTCCAGCTTAACTAGTTTACTAACAGTACTGACATGAAGCATCAAACAGCAGATCATGGCGCTTGCAACGATAAGGTCGTGGGTTCGATTCCCAGGGAATGCACGAACTGATTTCCAAATTTTGCTTTGGATAAAAGCATTTGCAAAATAAGAAATGTAAACTATGCATGAATGTAAAAGCAATTTCTGCTCCAAGGTTATTATAGTTAACTAAAACTGAAACTAAAAAATAAAAACATTACTTGAAATAAACATTAACTGAAGTTTTTAAAAAAAACTTTTTATTTCAGCTAGTTGTCAATGCTAATTAGCACATTATTAGGAAAGGCGATTTGCAAACATTATACTCACTTCTTCTGTAGATGAGGCTGGATCACGTATGATTCGCGCGAACATGGACACATTTATGTAGATCGTAGATCATTCCCTTCAGAAACAACGTAATCCACTGCGTCTTCAGCGGCTCAGATGTCGGGAGTAAATGACGACTGCTATGTTCATTATTACATCC